GACTACTGCATATCACCGCGAATATCGCTTTTTTCACACTTCACGTAAAACGGGTGAGACTCTATTAGTAACAGCAGGTTCGGCAACGATCGCGTCTGGACTATGGGCGAGTGGTGGTGTCGGTGGGAACTCCTTCGTGGGAGGATTGCTGTCGTCGTTTTTGATGATAATATGTGCGGAGTTGGGCGACAAGACGTTCTTTATAGCGGCGATATTGTCAATGCGCCACAGCCCGGTGGTGATCTTCATGGGAGCGATGATGGCTATGTTTACGATGACGGTAAGAGGAGGGGAAGGTGCTTCGCTCCGCCTTTTCGGGGGCAATTGTTGCTGCGGTTCGCTGAGGATGTGGTAAGGAATGCATAATCGATCGTGTGATCGATATGAAGTCCCGGTATGATGGGGTTCTGGAAGAATTAATTCTGCTCTAACGCTTCTATCAAAGGAGCCGCTTGGTGCAAAATAATAATGGAGTTTCACAACCCGTTTTACGTGAAGTGGCGTAAAACTCTGTGAAAAAGACGATATTCGCGGTGATATGCAGTAGTTGTAAAATATGTTTTTCATATCACTAGGGTGGTGAAACTCCATTAATAATAGCTCTCAATGAAATTGGATAATCGTGTAGTCGAACGCAACTGCAGATCATCACATTAATGACCATCGCTCGCTCTCCAACACAATCCACATTATTTTGCATTTTGGAAACAGAGCGCTCCACCGCGGGAAAGAAATTCCGTCTCCCGCATTGCTTTTGGAAATGTCGATTTGGTTTCTCGCAGGTCCTTTCAGCTGGTCTCGGTCTGCTCCTGCCAGCACTGCTGAGCAAAAAAGTTACTCATTATTCGTGTATTGTGTTATTTGTCTATTTTGGTGAGTACTGTCGTCAAGTGTTTCCGCCCATGGTCGTTTTCCAGGCCTGCGTTTGTTGAAGGATGCGTATGAGCTGAGCGATGGAACGTCGGGGGAGTTGGCTGAAGTGGAGATGACCATGAAGTATGGAGGGGGGAAATCTCGCTCGCCCAGTATAATTTTGGTATTTGAGTATGTTGCTGAACGGAGGCTAAGATATTCGTCGATTATTAGTTGTTTGGAGTGGGGAGGAGTGTTGGTTGTTGTGGGTAGGAAGAAGAATGAAGAACAGGATAAGAACGCGGCCGAAGAACAACAAGGTGAAATAGAAGCGGGGGAAGCGTCAACGTCTAGCAATGTAAAGGTCTCCGGTTCGATCCCTGGTGGGGGTATTTTTTCCCTTCAGGCTGACAATACTACAGCGTCACCATGGTACTCGGCAGAGAACAGAGCTGTTCTTGTGCAGGTCCTATTTTGTATCTTCTACGCTCACCCTAAAGATATTATCTTTTTAGTCGTTTGTAATGTCGTTTTTGGCGGAGTGGGGTGACCGAAGCCAAGTGGCCACAATTGCCTTGGCTTCTTCTAAGAGTCCCTATGGGGTCATGCTGGGCTGCGTATTGGGACATTGCATATGTAAGGGCAATTTTGTGGCGCGGTGAGGGTTTTATGCAACTAGAGCGAGTTCTTTAAAAAATGTTTATTGTTGATGTTGCGCACTGTGGAGATTTTGTACATGCGTGCATCTTGCGTGTGCGTTTGGCATATCTAAGGTCAGTGCCGTACATAATTGGGCATCAGCTTCGGAGCCTGGGTTCCTTGGGTTGCCGGAGGCGTGCATTTCTTAGTAGCCACGTGATTACTCCCAGAATAGGGGCTCAGAATTTACTGGTTTGTCCACGGTCTCGGGATAAGCGAAAATCCAGACAACGGCACTGTCTGAGGTGGAGCATGAACATTGACGGGATTCCCCATCGAAATATATGTTTATGATGTTATCATTGTTGATGGAACTGTCGAGAATTTTCTCATAGTTTTCTGACGCCCTTCCTCTCAGGCACGGGCATTGCCGTTGTGGGAGGACGATTATTGGCGAGTAAAATATCCCAGAGGCAAGTTGCCGTCGCCGGTGGAGTCCTCTTCCTCATCTTCGCCTTGAGTTCGCTGCTCCTCGGTGTTGATGTCAGTGCTGATGCGGGACGGTGAGAAAACTGATAGAAAAAGGGGAAAATTGTCCCCCCCCGCTGTCGTTGTAAATAGTATTCTATTCTGGCCTGCATGAGACAGACCTCGTTGTGCTTTTCTCCTAATAGGGTATCATTAGTTTTCATATTACTCATGGTTTGCTTAAGTCGGTCAATGATGCGGTGATGATGTTTCCTCAGGGGTTTCATCTGTGAATGCAGCAAGAGATCTCAGCCCGTTGTCGATCTGTTCGATGGGAGGACATACCGCAGGCGGTGACGATGGCGGCGTTGATTGACTTGATGCGGGGTCATGGATTTGACTACGGCGGAAATGTTCGCTCGATCAACTGGCCATTCGACAGGGCCTCTCGGAATGGGTCTGCTATAATAAGATTTGAAACCCACGAGTTTGCGGAAAAATTCATGAAAATTTTTGACGGTTACACGTGGAAGGGGTCGGCGACTAAGAGTCGTCTTGAATGGTCACCTGAGAGGACCGACGGTTTGCCGGAAATATGGGGTAAAACGCCCGCCTCGGAAACTGTTGTGATCATAAAGGGTTTACCCTCGAATTGCACTTACGCTCGACTGCAGAAGTTCTTGAAACGTTATTATGGTCCGATAACGCGATGTCGACTGGGGGCGCGCGATGGGCACTATTTCAGGCAAGTTGTGTGCACATTCGCGACGGTGGGGGCTGCTAGGTCGGCCCTGAGGAGCAGTAAGCTCGCGTCGGATGGCAACCGGAAGTGTATGAGAATATTGAGGTCATTTGGTGGTCCTATCTCGTTTGAGCCACATAAAGAGGAGGAGGAAGAGGAGGTGACAGAGTCCGATGCCTCGAGTGCAGGGAAGGAATCTAATACGACGGTCCTTGACTCGAGTGGTGGTGAAGAAGCGACAACGGCAGTGGAAGACGATTCCTCGATGGGGAGTTCTTCTCCTAGGGTGGATGAGGTCGGCTTGTTGGCCATCCCGGATCCACCAGCAACGTTGTCGTGGTACAATGTCCCTCCTATTTACACAGCAGAGAGACTCATGCGCTTCTTCCTGGACTATGGTCTTCATATGGGGCCGCTGTCACCGTATCGA